CCTTCTCCCTTGTGTTGCTTCTCCAGCCTCTCCCCTTGGCTGTGGGACCAGCACGGATGGACTCACAGCCACCACCACCCTGAGGGTGTCCCCGTGGGAGCGTTCCCACCACATCCCTCCTTTTCCCAGGATCAATAAATAAATGGGAATGTCCAAGGGCTGGTGGGGCCTGCAGAGCTGGGGGGGTGGCCCAGCCTGTGCTATCTGACAGCAATGGACATCTTGGGTGTAGCAAAGAGAGGTTGGTCAAGGGGGGGCCAGGGTGGCTGCTGCTGCCTCAGCTCCTTCTCCAGCCTCTTGAAAAGCTTCTTGGACACTTTCTTCCGGCGCAGCCTGCGGAGGCACCTGGGCAAACCATGGTCCAGGGCAGTCTGAGGCAAAGATGGGGAAGAAGAAAGGGTTTTGGGGAGGTCTGTGGACCACAAGGAGAGGGCAGAGCTGGTGCCGAGGTGAGCTCTGCTCCCTCCTGCCCATGGAAACCTGGGAAACCTCTGGGACAGGTGTTGCTGGGACAGACCCAATGGATGAGACTCATCATGTGGTGCCCAGTGCCCACCTTGGGGTGCCCAGTGCCCACCTTGGGGTGACCTACCTCCAGCACGAAGGCAGCAAAGAAGTTGAGCACAGCAAGGGCCAGCAGGAGCAGCTTGAAGTTCAAGTCATTGATGGTCTTCAGCTTCAGCAAGGACTTGGGGAAGCCCAGTGGGTTGAGGGTCAGCCAGGCCATGAGGCCAAAGAGGAGGATGAGGACTGCCAAGAAGAGCACTGAGGGCGAGAAGGAAGAGGGTTGAGGAGGAGGGTGAAGGTTTGATGCCTCTGATTGTCCACATGGCATCATCCTCACCGTTGGTGTAGAGTGGCTCCCTGAATGGGTACCCCTTGGACATGGCAACAGCCAGGATGAGGTACTGGAAGCCAGTGATGCAGAAGAGGACAGTGTTCTCATAGTTGGGCAGGTTCTGGGGGGCCATCACCGTGCTGTTCAGTGGCACATACCTGAGCCAGGCAGGGGAGAAGAAGGTCAGACCAAGGATTGGCCAGAACAGGTGATGGGACGAGAGGAAACGGCCTCAAGTTGCACCAGGGGAGCTTTAGATTGCATCTTGGGAACAATTTCTTCCTCAAAAGGATTGCCAGGCCCTGGCCCAGGCTGCCCAGGGAGGTGGTGCAGTCCCCATCCCTGGAGGGGTTTCAAAGCCCTGTAGATGTGGTGCTGAGGGACACAAGGTGTGGCCTTGGCAGAGCCGGGGGAATGGTTGGACTTGATGATCTTAAAGGTCTTTTCCAAACAAAACAATTCCATGATTCTAAGAAGCAAGTGGACAAGGAGAGGGTCTAAGTACCCACCCCCTGCTCTCCCTGAGCACTCAGGAACCATCCACTGCAAGGAGCTGGACTCATCCCTGATGTCAGCCAAACCCAAGGCAAAGCACTTGGGCTTTGCAGCCCTCCATGGCATCCCCACCCTCACGCAGGCTCCTCACCAGCTCTGCGAGACGGTGACGAAGTAGCTGAGGACTTGTACAGTGATGAGCAGAGCTGTCTGGAGGAGCAGGCTGCCCAGCACCAGGACACTGATCAGGGAGCCCTGGGGACGCTCCAGCCCCAGGGCCTGGGCAGGACCAGTGCGGCCCATCAGCACGGCCACCGTGGTGGTGATGATCAGGTCGAAGAAGAGGAACTGGAAATCGCTGAGGTTGGTGTTGATCTGGGAAGGAGAAACAGAATCACAGGATGGCTCTGGTTGGAAAAGACCTTCAAGATCATCAAGCCCAACCTTTTCCCCAGCCCTGCCAAGGCCACCCCTGCCCCATGTCCCCCAGCACCACATCTACACTGCTCTGAAGCACCTCCAGGGATGGAGACTCCCCCCTGCCCTGGGCAGCCTGGGCCAGGCCCTGACAACCCTTGCCAGGAAGAAATTGTTCCCAAGATCCAACCTAAATCTCCCCTGGCACAACTTGAGGCCATTTCCTCTTGTCCCATCCCTTGTTCCTGGGGAGCAGAGCCCGACCCCCCTGGCTCCAACCTCCTCTCAGCAGCTGCAGAGCCAGCAGGTCTCCCCTCACCTCCTTGTCTCCAGGCTGGACACCCCCAGCTCCCTCAGCTGCTCCTGCTCACACTTGTGCTCCAGCCCCTTCCCCAGCTCCCTTGCCCTTCCCTGGACACGCTCCAGCCCCTCCATGTCCTTCTTGTCCTGAGGGGCCCAGAACGGCCCCCAGGATTTGAGGTGTCCCCCCCCAGTGCCAAACAAACCACCCACTACAGGGACTGGTGGGAGAGCTCAGGAAGGTCACGACTTTAAGCCAGGTGGTGACAAAGTGACCCCCAAGCACCCAGGAGCTCAGGAGGCCTTTGGGCAACCACGGGACTCACCGTGTAGAGCAGCAGGACGGACACAAACTGCACCAGGCTGTACAGGGCCATGTACTTAAAGACACCAAAGGAGGTGACCAGGGAGCACCTGCCCTCCCTGTGGAGAGAGAGACACTGACCCAACACACCCTGCCCACCGGCCCCGCGAGGGGACACGGCCCCCCTGCCACCCCACGGGTGTCCCTCCCCCCGGGGCTCCGCTCACCGGATGACGGAGGGGACACACTCGATGGTGGCCACGCGGGAGGTGAAGGGCGAGGCCACCGAGGCCTCGGCCTCCGACAGGGAGATGCCCACGTCGGCCGCGCGCAGGGCCCCGCAGTCGTTGGCCCCGTCCCCGCACATCCCCACGCAGTAGCTGCGGTGGGAAAGGGTCAGAGAAGGAATCCCAGGGTGGGGTGGGTTGGAGGGACCTTAAAGATCACCCAGTCCCAACCCCCCTGCAAGGGCAGGGACCCCTCCCACCAGACCAGGCTGCTCCAAGCCCCATCCAACCTGCCCTTCAACACTGCCAGGGATGGGGCAGCCACAGCTTCCCGGGGCAGCCTGGGCCAGGCTCTCACCACCCTCACAGCAAAGAATTTCCTCCTCATGTCCAACCTCAATCTCCCTCTTCCAGTTTTAATCCATTCCCCCTCATCCCATCCCTCCCTGCCCTTGTCCCAAGTCCCTCCCCAGCTTTCCTGGAGCCCCTTCAGGCACTGGAAGCTGCTCTAAGGTCTCCCTGGAGCCTTCTCTTCTCCAGGCTGAACACCCCAACTCTCCCAGCCTGTCCCCAGAGCAGAGGGGCTCCCAGGACCACCTGTGACAGACCCGCACTCCCCAAGGGATGTAGGAGCATAAATAATCCAGCCTGGGGCCTTTTTCCCCCAAGGTTTTCTGTAGAGTAGGAATCATCTCCATGGCCTCCTCTGGACTCACTCCAACAACTACACGTCCTTCTAGTGCTGGGGGCTCAGGGATCTGATATTTCATGATGGGACTGGGGGGAAAACCCCGGGTCTCCCAGGCTGCAGCCCCATCTTTACGAGAACTCATCAGGGCAGGCTGCGGTTTTGCAGCTGCCAACAGCTCTGGCCCCCAGGAGATGTCTTGGGGCAGAGAATTAGCCCCCTTGTCCTCCTCTTTCCCCTCAGCCCTTGGGGCTGGAAGGCCTTACCTGAGCTCCTGGAGGCTGCAGACCAGCTGAGTCTTCTGCTCAGGGGACATGCGGGCAAAGATGGTGGCTCGGAGCAGGATCTGCAGAGAAGAGAAGGCTCCGAGCCCGGATCCAGCCCCCCAGTTCCCAGGAGGAGTTGGGGACTCCCAGCTTTGCCAGCTCAGCAGGGGACAAGGCCAGGGATGAGAAAAGCCCTTGGGGTGTTTTGGAAGACACGGGACTCACCTTGGGCAGCAGGTCTGGGAAGTGCTCACAAACCACGGCGAAGGATTTGCCGTTCAGGGCCAAGTGGCAGGGCTGGCACTGACCCTGCCCAGGGAAACAGCTCCTTGGTCTGCAGCCCAGCTCTGACCTGCACCCAGACCCCTGCTGAGACCTGGGCAAGGGGCTGAACCCCCATCCTCAACCCACGTGGAGCAGGAGGCAAAGGAGCTGCTCTTTAATCTCAATTATTGATATCAATAGTGGGATTTGGGGTAAGAATATCATCATGGGTGGTGTGGGCCATGATGGGAGATGATGGGACGGCTGGAGCAGCCCTGCTCTGGAGCCAGGCTGAGAGAGTTGGGGCGTTCAGCCTGGAGAAGAGAAAGCTCCAGGGAGATGTCAGAGCACCTTCCAGTGCCTGAAGGGGCTCCAGGAAAGCTGGGGAGGGGCTTGGGACAAGGGCAGGGAGGGATGGGATGAGGGGGATGGATTGAAACTGGAAGAGGGAGATTGAGGTTGGACATGAGGAGGAAATTCTTTGCTGTGAGGATGGTGAGAGCCTGGCCCAGGTTGCCCAGGGAAGCTGTGGCTGCCCCATCCCTGGCAGTGTTGAAGGGCAGGTTGGATGGGGCTTGGAGCAACCTGGGCTGGTGGGAGGTGTCCCTGCCCATGCAGGGATCTAGATGGTCTTTAAAGTCCCCTCCAACCCAAGCCCGTCTGGGATTCTATGATCCTAAGAAGCCTGTGGGACCAAGCCCTTCAGGCCAAGGCTGGAGCAAGACCTGAGCATGGTGGTGGCTGTTTGGACCATCAGCTCCAGCCTGACCTGCTCCCAGGGAGACACAGGAGCAGGTGACCTCCTAAAGGAGACATTTAATAAGGGGCAGAATCCCACCCCAAACTGCCTTGAAGGAGAACAATGCTGGAAGAAGAGAGTCCTGCAAATCTTGACCCCCATGGGACGTGTCCTCGGGACCCACCTCAGGCTGCTCCTCGCCTTGGGAATGCTCGGCCGGGATGAATTTCAGCGCGGCTGGTTTGTCCTGGGCTGGAGGAGAAGCGCTGACGAAGATCACCTGCTCCTTGGGCTCCACCATGCGGCAGCCCCTGGCCACGTTCACGGCTGTCAGCATGTTGTCTCCTGGAAGAACCCAGAGAAGGGTTGGCCAGTTAAGAGAAGCACAAGGCAGGGGGAAAGCAGGGGCTGGAAGGAGCCAAGGAAACACCAGGGACCAAAAAGGTGTCCAACAAAACCTGTTGGGTTGTTTGTTGGGGTTTTTTTTTATCTCCAGGTATGGGAACAGACACTTGATGAGATGAAGGGGATGTGTGATGCTGCTGGTACTTGTCCTGCTTGGCTGGATGGTGTAGACTCTGGAGTTCACCTACTCTACAGAAAACCTTGAGGAAAAAGGCCCCAGGCTGGATTATTTATGCTCCTACATCTCCTGGGGAGTGTGGGTCTATCACAGGTGGTCCTGGGAGCCCCTCTGCTCTGGGGACAGGCTGGGAGAGTTGGGGTGTTTAGCCTGGAGAAGAGAAGGCTCCAGGGAGACCTGAGAGCAGCTTCCAGTGCCTGAAGGGGCTCCAGGAAAGCTGGGGAGGG